TTGGAGAAGGGATTTTATTTCTTTTCAGATCTAATATTTTATTATTATTTTTTATTAGTTTATATAAACTATAGTTTTCAGAAAGAATTTCTTTTGTGTGATTTAATAAATGAATTTCACTTCACAAGTTTTTCTTTGACTATTTAGAAAAGTAATTTTCTAATTTAAAAAAAATAATAACAAATATTTTATAATAAAAATGATAACAAATATTTTAAAATGATTTTCAATAATTTACAATAATTATAAAACCGATTCAAAATAGAATTAAGTTACGTTATACACAACGCAGTAACAATACTAGATTACCAATGCTAGATAAGCAAAACTTTGTTGTCCATCAAGAGCGCAAAAAGATCAAAATATAATAAAAGTAACTTTTTCAGTATTTAAAAAGAAATACTTTAATATAAACTTACCCTTTAATATAAATTGTTTACCTAAATATATGATAATAACCTTATACAACATGCTCATTTATTATAAATACCTTAATATAAATTGCTTCTATAATAATTTAATATTTTAATATAAAGTAATACCTTAATATAAATTAATCGTAGAATATAAATAATACCTAAATATAAATTATTACTACGATAATTTAATACCTTAATATAAATAATGCCTTTATGTAAGTTTCACAATATCATTAACTTTATACTTAATTATTTGCTGCCGCTGCAATAAATTTCGTAACTTTGAAAATTTCAAAGGAAATAGCTCTAATTTTATTACCTAATTTTAAATCCTATTACATGTTGCCATTATTTTACATGTTTATACGCAGAGTTTGATGGTTACTCTTTATCTTTAGTTACATTATATGCCGCAGGTTTTCAATGGGGTTGAGGTCTGGGCTATGCCCCGGCCAAGAACCTAGAACCTCAACCCCATGATTCCGAAGCCAGTTTTCCACTGAAGCTGCTTGATGGCAGGGAGCATTGTCATGCATTAACAGTTTGCAGTTGTGAATCTGCAAAACTGTCGAAAGCTTTTCACCCAGTATGTCAATATTTTTCTGCGCATTCATAGTTGTATTTTCTGGAAAAATGTGAGGGAGCCTCTGCCAGACGCTGAGAAGTAAATTTTTTATTGACACGACGGCGAACATATCTTGGTGCTGCAGAAAACAACTTTATGTTACTTTTGTCACTAAAAATTACTTCATTCCACTTTTCACTAGTGTAATGTTTAAATTTCCAACAAAAAAGTTATCTGTCACGAACGTTCTTCTTTGATAACAGCGGTTTTCGTGTAGGTCGGTTCGCTTTTAAATTAAGAATATCACTTGAACGTCGTCAAACGGTTCTTGCACTAACTCTGTGTGGCTGTTGACTTGCTACAGCAGAGGAAGATATCATTGGATTCTACAACACGTATTTATTTATCACTCGATCTGTAGCAGGAGTTGTAGCGTTAGGGCGTCCAGCTCGACATTTCGATTTCACATCACCTGTCTCTCGCCAAAGTTTGATTGTCAATGGCACAACTTGCTGGAAAACATTCAGATGTTGATCCACAGCTGCTTGGGTTAAACCCGAGTTAACTAATGCAACAATCTGACTACGTTTTTTAGGTGAAAATTGCATTTTTGGTAAGAAATTGTTGATCCAAATTAAACAAAGAACACAACATAGACAAAGAAAAAAGCTTTATTATTTCATTTTTTTAAATAAAAGATTATCTCAATTAGTTCAAGCCATAAAACTGACAGCTTTTTGGTTCATTTCTAGGCTTTCAACAAGCTTAAAACAGCAAAATGAAGCAAAAAGCAATTATATTTGAGCATACAACAGACTTTTGGCCACAATTGTATGTCTTAGACAGCGCGTATTTTTTGTCATTAATGACAAAATGACGGTCTTGCCACACTTTGACAAACAGTGAAATTGCACGGTGTTTCAAAGTGTGACAAGACAATACAAACGGTTTCTCAAATTTTAAAATTTTAAAAATGTATAAGCATGCATTGATTCACTTGAGATATGAAACTTTAAAATATAAAAGCAATAATAGGTATAGTTTTCATTATTAAAACAGTTATAAGAAAAATTGTAATGCTACCTCATAAGACAGTCGTTGTGACATCCAAGGAGCTAAACCATTTCTAATTCATATTCGCCTCTGACTAATTTTAATTTTATTTGCTGCAGCCTTCAAAATGTTGAAAAAAATTTTTCATCGAAAGTTTATTTTTTTTATTATGCACTTTTTTTTAATTCTGATCTTCTCATTTATGAAGAATCCGCCATTTACTTACTATGAAGAATCCGTCATTTACTTACTATGAAGAATCCGCCATTTACTTGGCAGGTAAGAGTACTAATCTATTCTTTATATTTCGAACGTTATACTTTTCGATACTTAGACCGTCATCAGACCTAAAATGCATGATTTAATAAATAATTTAAATATTTAATATAAAAGTCGTTTTAACATGAACCATATAAAAAACCGATCCAAAGATGGCGTCATTAAGTATGATTCTGTTCCTTTTAAATTTTCACTAAAAGTGATGTCCAACTGTTGCCCCAGTTCTCATGCCGTTTCGCCTATTAAAAAATACTGCGGAATATTTTATTCTTTTTGTTTATTAAGATTTCCCTGTTTATTAGATTTTATAGTTATAACTCAGACCCTCCTGTTTATTAAGATCCCCCCGGTTATTTGGCAGATGAGAGTATAAATTTATTACTTATATTTTAAACTTTACAACTAAGACTTTCATCAGAAATAAAAGAGGGCTAATATGCCTTTTCAACTTAAAATTCATATAACTGGTCCATTTAGCATCTTACTCTACATAAAGCTTGAACTTTCGTACTGTTACATTTAAAAAAAAATCATTTTTATTACTTGTTATGAATGACGTCTTTTGTAATTAATAAAGATTGTATTATATTGGGCTTTCAGATAAATTCTTGCTGTTTTTTTTAAAACGTTATTTTTAAACATAAAATACCAACAATTTATTCAAAAAAGTATTTTTTGTTGTTGGTTTTGACTTGCTCACAACGTTCAACAAGTTTCGGTAAAAATCGCCCGACCTCGATTCGAAAAATTCGTTTAACCACGCCCGTAGTTCGACGCGAAACATTGAGTAAAGCGTTTGAAAGAGATCGGAAGAGGTGGAAATCCGATGGCGCTAAGTCTGGAGAGTATAGAGGATGTGACAGCATTTTCAATTCAAGCATTTGAATCGCCTCCTTGGTTATAATGATAATGTGGAAACGGGCACTGTTGTGTTGCAGAAGAACCTCGTATTGCCTATTAGGTTGTTTTTTCTGGATAGCGTTGTTTAATCTTTACATCTTTTGAACATAAAGTTCCGCATTGACTGTTTGGTTGCAATTAAGCATTTCCCAGTGGATAATGCTTTATCCTCTTCATCAAACTCAATTGATCACCCCAAATGAGATCCGTCCTGGAGGTTGAAATTGCCACTTTTGAACTTCGAAAACCAATACCTAGACGATATTTCGTCTGATTTTTTTCCCCGTAAACTTTGGAAATCAGACGAGAAAACTTTGGTTAAAAAATCATAAAGAAAATTATTTTAATAAACATTTTTAATAACAGGGGTAGTAAAATGCTTTTTTAAAAAAATTAAATGAAAATATATGAATAATAAGAAATTTAATTCCTTCTCTAAAAAATCATTTTTTTTTACTATAACGCAACCGTATGGTGACTTAATCTAACCTAGCCCACATCCGCACTAAAATTGATGTTAACAGGCTATTATTAGACTTGCACAGCTGAACTATACATCATTAGATAGTTTATTCCTTCAGCAACCAAAACTATGTAAAGTTATTTAGATTTTATATGGCAATACCATTATAAATTGTACAGTGCATCAAAAGCACTGATTCTTGCCCACTTGAACTCAATCTCGCCATTTTGATTTAAAGTCCCCCGCTGTGTAAATTAAAAAAGAACTTATGCTTGCGTAGGGCGACATTATATACAGGTAGTGAGATTAAATCTCGTTAGTTAATTTCTATGCTCAATTGCACCATTTTAATTAGAAAAGTATAAAACCATGAAGTTTTGTGAATGCAAACTCCCTAGATTCTCCCTAGATTCTGACTTATATCTAAATTTTGAGATCAATCTCAATTGTAATTGTAGAATGTGTAAATAAACTATAGTTTGAACACATCAATGTTTACGAGTCGTAGTGATATGACAAATATTGTCTTCTTTATACCCCAGTCATGAGTTTAATTTTTGTATTGAGCAGCCGTAGCGTAGTGATTAGAGCACGGAACTCATTGTATAAGGATTGCAATTTCGAATCCTATTCGAAACACTTATACGTTATCGGTAGAGCTCGAAATGGGGAACTAGCTCATTAAATACTTAAGCCCTTGTGGCGGTGCTTAGTGATAATGGTCTTATTCGTGATAAGACCATTAGGTCTTATCACAAATAAGACCATTAAAGTATTCTTAACAGGGGCGGATCTAGCATTTTTAAAGGGTGATGCGATTTTTTTTGAATAGACCCCCCTTAACATCCCTAGGGTTTAAGTACAGTCAATTTCAAAAGTGGAGGGACAGAAAAAGGCGTAACAAGTGTGGGGCAGCCATGCCACGGACGGGTTTTATTTAGGAATTACACCGCTTTTTAATGCTATTAAATAAGGTAAGCGAAAGATACTATGATTCAAAATGAGGTTTTGATTTTTTTTAAAAACGAAGACCAGATATATTACTGATTTGAGGAGGAATGTATGAGAGTGCTGCTACATCGAATGATCTATACCTGTCTTAACCCAAACCCTCAGTCGATGTAGCAGCATTTCCTTGCATGTTATCCCTAAATAAGTCAATGTAGAAGCACTCTCCTACATTTCTCCCCAATTCAGTAATATATCTGGTCTTCGTTTTATAAAAAGTCAAAACCTCATTTTGAGTCATAGTATCTTTCGCTCACCATTAAATAATAACTAAATTTGTTTTGTATTGTTTTTGTAGTATCTATTTATTTATAGAATTTTTCACTAATGTTACCTTGGCTATTTCGTTCATAAATTAGACATGTATTTTGAAGTCTAATTTACTTAAGAAAGTGCACCAACGAGAAGGTAAGCCATAGGACTTTGCACTTCATCTGTGTACTATTATTTTGCCAAAGGTTAGCCCTTCATTTCTAGATTCTTACATTTTCTTGATAAGCACGTAATGTAAAGTAATATTAGGTTATTTATTAATGTTAAGTAATATCAAGTTAATTAATATTATAGTTATAAAGGTTAGCCCTCCATTTCTAGATTTTATGTAAAGTATTAGTAATTTTATTTGAGGTTAACCCTCCATTTTTGAATTTTTTTCTTTTCTTGATAGGAATTTTTAAATTTGTTAATTTTTATTATATTGTATTATTGAAGATCAATTAATATAAAATAAATATAGGCTAACAGTCTCTCTCTCTCTCTCTCTCTCTCTCTCTCTCTCTCTCTCTATATATATATATATATATATATATATATATATATATCATATATATATATATATATATATATATATACATATATATATATATATATATATATATATACATATATATATATATATATATATATATATATATATATATATATATATATATATATATATATATATATATATATATATATATATATATATATATATATATATATATATATATATATATATATATATATATATATATATATATATATATATATATATATATATATATATATATATATATATATATATATATATATATATATATATATATATATATATATATATATATATATATATATATATATATATATATATATATATATATATATATATATATATATATATATATATATATATATATATATATATATATATATATATATATATATATATATATATATATATATATATATATATATATATATATATATATATATATATATATATATATATATATATATATATATATATATATATATATATATATATATATATATATATATATATATATATATATATATATATATATATATATATATATATATATATATATATATATATATATATATATATATATATATATATATATATATATATATATATATATATAGGTAATGTTGCAGAATAGACACGTTAAATAAAATTATCTTTTAGCTTTTTGCGCTCTCGTTCGTAGATACTTAAAAAATTCTATTGAATGAATGAATAAAATGGAATGTTCTTTAAAATGGAACATAAATATCATAAAAGATAAATTTCAAAGTAGTTATTAAAATAGTTTTTTTGTTTAAAAACTTTTTTTTAATTTTTTATTTTATTAATAATTTTTTATTAATATTTATTTAATTATTTTTTTAATAATAATCTATTAAATACAATTATTTGAAATAAATAATTGTATTTATTTCAATAATTAAAAATATAGTTTTGTTAGAACTATTGTTCATGCTAATGTGTTTTTTAAAAATATGTGGCTATGAAAATAGCCGTTTATGTTATAGTTTAAGCAGGATATTGACGTGAAATGCAAGAAATAAATGCTGAAAACAAAGGGAAATTTTTAAAACGTTGACGCCAAATAAACTCATGAAGATAAGATGTAAATAGATCTTCTGATGTCCCAAACTGTCGTCGCAATTTGCGTTTTACCCGCATCCATAGATTTTCTACATTTTGGGTATGAACTTCATCATCTAGGGGATCAACGAAATTGCGTTCATGAACAACAACAGCATGTGAATAAATACCGTTTTGGATGTTTTCAATTCCCCCATATGAAGCCCAACCATCGGAAACGATATGAGTTCCAGGTAAAATATAACGTAAAATCATATCCTGAAGTGTTTCTGCAGTGCGATCGGGAACTTCTACTAAAAAACATTTACCTGAACCCCTTTCTATTCCACCGAATACCCAATGACCAGGGCGCCATTGTCCGCGATGATACTTGCGATGAAAAAACTTAGATTCATCTATTTCCACAACAATTGCAGTACCATCGTTATTTATGCCACCAACAACATTAGGATTAGTTTCAATCTCTACTTCGCATACATCTCGACAGAAGTTACCCCAATCTACAAGCGTATGGTTGACACTAATCAAGCGGGCTTCATGCTGTATGTCTTTTAGTTGCATATCCCTGCTCCAACAATAAATAAAGAGTATAATTTGTTTAAATGACAATTTACTTCTGGTAAAGAATGATTCATCGCGAACACTTCGACGCCGCTTGCATTCTTTACAGTACCAGCAGTACCCATCCACTGTTCTTTTGTAAGCGTTTAATGTAAAATGTCGGTTACAGGGATTACAAAAAAAATTGTTTTTAATAAGCTTCCTCTGAGCTAACCATCGTAGTGTAGATATGGGTTGATCTAAACAAGACCCAAGTTCAAACAAACACCAATTTTCCGTTAATATTGCTGCCTCATTTAGTATTTCTACTTCTGGAACAATATTTGTTGAACCACTTGGTCTTCCGCGATTAACACGTTGTAAAGCCATCTAAAATATTTGATTTTTAAAAGTAAAAATAATAGATACAACTACTAAATAAAAAATAATAAATATGTAACTACTAAATATGAATATGTTAAAAAAATATAATATGTTAAAATTTTTTTTTTATATTAAATGTGTTTATCTTACCTTTTGGTAAGAGAAATGAAAAACGCTATAATTAATTAAATTAATGAAATAGTTAAATTTTTCTTACTTTTTACTTTTATTAGAACTCCATCGCAGATTTTAAAAAGCAAATTAATAAAATGATTTAACGTGTCTATTCTGCAACATTACATATATATATATATATATATATATATATATATATATATATATATATATATATATATATATATAATAATAATAATAATAGAGTTTGATTATTTGAAAAAAATACAACTTTTTGATGGTACTTGAAGTTTCATGCCCTTCGGCAATCATCAGCCATATTTTATTCTTTTAAAACAAGAAAAACCGTTAAAAAATACAAAATACAAAAATTAACAGAAAAAACAATAACAAAGCAATAGAATGAGTTCTGACGTCAAAACAAAATTTTTAATTAGAAAATTGTTTAATCAGCCGTGTCGAAGTGGGCGAGAAGAAACTTGTTTCGATGCCTGCATTTGGATATCATTTCACTTTTTTTGTTAATTAGATTTTTATTTTTGGAAAACAGAATTTGATATTTTTCATTTATACACAGTTTGCAAGACTTCATGGTTGGGTTGTAAGCATTGCACTGCCTAATTATTTTCCATTTAATAACTGGATTTAAATTTGCATCTTTCAGTTTCCAAAATTCTTTTGATAGTTCAGTGTCATTTTTGTATTTTTGAATGGTAAAAGATTTTACATGGTTGGCATATCTAATTTTGAATGGTGTTTCGCTTATACCGATGTATAGTTTGATGACAGGATTGGTAGTAGGATTAGTTGAACTTATTTTAGCTTGGTATACAATGTTTTTTGTTAAGCATTGGTTTGATAGAGGGCAGGTGCTTTTATTAAGGCAGTTGCAATTGGTTTTAGGTAGATCTTTTTTGTTGTTCATAATTTGTTGATTGTGTGCATTTAGGATAGATTTCATGTTCGGCATACAGCTATAACTTACTTTTATGGTGTTTCTGTTGAAGATTTTGTGGAACTTGTGGTTTATTGGAAAGTGTTTGTTGACTAAAGTTAAGAAGCTTTTTCCTATGTTAGTGCTTACATTTTTGCTGAAAGGTGGGTTAAACCAAATGATGTTGCGTTTACGGTTTTTTGTATAAGGTGAATTTAAATTAGGGTGGTATGAAAGTTTATGATTAAAACCGGACTTTAACAGTGCGTCATTGTATGCAGGGGTAGATCTTTGGAAAATTTCTTCACTTGAGGAATTTGCAGACAATCTTAACTCAATTGAATGCGGAAGCTGTTTTAAAATATTTGGCGGGTGGTTTGAATCAGTGTGAATATAATTTAAAGAATTTCCGGGCTTAGAATATGGTTGGAAAGTATGGTCATTTAGATTTAATGTGACGTCGAGGTAATTTACAATTTTCATGTTGCATTGTATTGATATATTGAGTTCGTTTTTTTTAAATATTTCAACAAGATGTTTTTTAATTTTTTCCATTTGGGGGCCACTCATGTTTTTAAAAACTGCTAAGCCGTCATCGCGGTATAGTCCGAAATCATTTTTATTATAAACCTGTGCAACTTGAGACAATAGATAAATTCCCACGAGTTCACAAACTTCAGCTCCGTCAAATGCTCCCATTGAAACATCGAATAAACCGCCTGATTTTTTAATCCAAACTTGATCATCATTATATAGTAATGACTTCCTTGCGTGATAGATCAATGATTTATGGTTAGGTTCAATATTTAGATGTTGTTCAGCGAAATGGATAGCATTGTTGAGTAATTTTTCTGTTATTGATGGGTAAAAATCAACAATGTCAAAAACAAGGAATTTACAAAGGTGTTTATTTCTGATGCAATTAAACCAGTTTGTGGTATCTTGTGTTTTTTTCCATTGATTGAGGTGAAGTTTATTGACAAGTTCAGAGTTTATATTAGAAAGTATAACTTTGCTAATTCTGCCGATTTCGTTTTTGGCGGGGTTTAATAAACGGACAGTTGGGTTGTTTGTAAAGTTTTCTTTATGGTCTTTTAATTTTATAAAACAATTTGAAGGTGTGTTAATATTAATTTTATTAAAAACGTCGTGATTCTGTAATATCTGTTTACCTTCTTTATTTATTTGGTTTTTTATTTTTGTATTCGATTTTTTGTATGTTGAGGTGATAGCGTTTGTAAGTAAATGGGTGTAATTTTCTTTAGATATATTATATAAATTGGATGTTTTATCGGAAAAAGTGTAAGTAAGTTTGCTATTGCGTATGGTAGATATGTCATTCTTTAATTTGTTTTGGAAATTATTGTAGACTTTACGGAATTTAATGTTTTTTATTAGGTCTATCAGATCGTTTTCAAATGCAGTCATGTCGGAGATTTGCTTGGGGTTTTTTGATTTGGGGTTGAGATTTGCTTGGGAGATTTGCTCAAGTTGCACAGGTTTATAATAAAAATGATTTCG